GCACGATAAGAGTGTGTTTTGGACCAACTCGTTGGAAGATGATGAGAATTCACAAAAGATAGAACATAGCACCGCGACGGTACTATGATAGGTCTCAACGTCGACCTTCTTCTCCGTTGTCGATCTTCCCAGACCCTATAAGCCCTCCTATCCAGTATTAATCTACCGAATACTCTTGGCCCACCTGTTCTCCTGAGCTCCCATATAACACCGCATCAATAGTAGCAGCCAAAACAGGAAGGAATTCAATGAGCAAGCCTCGATGCTTCCCTAAAGGACATGCTACGAGCAGGAGACCAGTAGCTGACCCACCGTGAAGGGCAAGGACATATATCGCGCCCAAGCATGCCAATCTTGTGGCTGGAGAGAAGTCCAGGGAGTGGTACGTGAGCAGAATCTGAATGATGCCAGGTCGCTGCTCCTACCAGAGAAGGCCCCACCTTGACAAGTGCTCGGCCGTTCATCGACTTGACCATGGAATCCAGAGTGCTGTCGTTGGTCTGGCACATCTCAGCAGTGAACATCACGATACCCTCAGCAGTCTCCTCATCTATCTGGCCCGAGTAGAATATGTTGTGCACGAGCACAGGGATCTGCACTAAAGAGCTACCTCCTTATAGAAAACCACGCTTGGTCACAAGTGGCAATCAACGAGAAGATAGTAGCCAAGCTACCTTATAGTCGATAATCCTACTCAGCGCACTAACGTCCTTCTCCCCGGCGAGCAGAGCCAGCGCCCTCGTCGCGCACTTCAGGACGAAAGGGTCATATAGGCCTCCAGCAAAGATGTCACCGAGGGCCGAAAGATCCATAGAGTCACTTCCACTAGCGACTAAACAAACAAGTGAAGGAGTACCGAGGGTATCTACCTGGGGCTCGCATGGTTACCTCCTGGCTTGAGTACCACGTTCTTGGGGATTCCAAGGCGAACTATCGGCAGACAGTTCACAAGGCCTTCTAGATCGTCTTCCTCTGGGATAGCCTGCGACGCTGTTCGACCAAACTAAGCCAGCACTCATACCATAATGTCGCAAACTCCTCTTTGTTCCCTATCACGATGCAGGTTCAAAAAAGAGCGTCGGTTTGCCTGACCTGAGCGGACAAGCGATAGAGCATCAGCAATGCTATCGAGTCCCGCCCGGCGCACTCGTGAGAAGATGCTGCAGGAGGAAGATGGCCGTCTGCTTCAATTCAAGGTTGTCCGAATAGAGATAGCTGCTGATGATTTCCATACCTCTCAGGGACGGCCCTCCTATGACGGGCCGATATCTGAGTTCACGAGATCACTGCATTCGAGCGCTGTAGTCGATGAAGTCCGCCTCACATCTCTGATTCGGCGAAGGGGATGAGAGCCTTCAAGGCGTTAGCTACTATCTCGACGTGCGTCTCGTTCTCGCAAGCTGTCAGTAGAAGCCGCAGCCCATCTGCCATCACCACACCACGAAGGGAGGTGGCGGACATGCGGACCTCCTCTTCCTAAAGAGGCATCCATTGAATCGATCATATACCCCATCGGTCACCTCTGGTCCTCTCGTTGCCCCCCGTCCCTGCCCCTCTGGGGACACTAGATAGAGAATACTCAATATGCAGCATAGTCGTACGTATCTTGGCCGAAGCAAGCTACTACCGAAGCAAATCTCATTGAAAGCGGCTCTAGGGGATTATCCTAGACATAGTGCACTAAGTGCACTGCACTTATGCACGAACAACTCGAAGCATCGATCACACACAGTCGAGTCCCAATTCGGGGTGAACTGGTAGCTTACTCATCATCCGGGAAGTGCTCCTCATACATTTTGACGACAAGGCGTACTCCTCCCTGCAATAGGAATTCATGTTGGCAGTCCGCTTCAAAGGCAACAGTCGAGCACAGAAGGGCCACATGTGGTGCCAGTCTGCGGTCCTTCAACTGAATTTCTTCCCAGTGCGTGAGAATCTTTTGGAATACCAGAGGATTGTCTTTCTTGGTCTGACGGAGCAACGTGAAATGAGCTTTGCCTGCATCTTCAACGACAGGGAACGGCCAGGATAACGATGACGAGCCCGTCAGCCACTCGACCCTACCTTCATAATCCTAACTTTGCAATACTCCTCCGAGTTGATCATAGCGATGAGCATGTCGCAAAGGTATATACAGCTCTCTATGTTCATCACTTGTAACAGCAGCAGTAGCATCGACTTTCTCTCTCCCAGCGATAGTCCAACATCACCATCGTTCTGAAATTGGCACTTGCACAGCAAACCACTGCTATACTCGCAGGCCCGTACTGCGACCATTCAGTGCGCGGAGCTCCCAGCCCTACTTCCATCAGCTTCTTTATGTGCTCCCCCCGAGCTTCGTCTACCGGCATCTTACCATACCCCAGATGTTTGTGGAGGCCTTCGCTTTCACCGCTCACGTCCAGTACTGAGTCAGATCGTCGTGATTTCTGACCAAAAAATCGAACACTGGTTGATCATTTCTAAAGAGGTTTCGCCACCAGAGGCATACTCGTCTATCGATGGTCATAGGCTCACCTCATGAGATATGTTAGTGGGGCTGAGGAAGATCGTGTTCAGCAAACCAGCGTCGAGGAGTATCCGCGCACATCGTGCTGGGCTATTATTGACCAAGTTGTGGAAACATCTTATTATGTGGGACATCACTACAGCATCGTCTGTTGTCGAGAGCGTGTATCTACACTGTACACATCTACAATGAGTAGGGCTGAGGCCCTTCCCCTCACAGCATGGCCTTGATATAAGGTGCATCATCTCGATGTCCACCAAGGATGTGATCTATGTTTTCCTTTGCAGCAGCACAGTTCGCTACAGTCATTGCAGCATACCGTCTCAGCTGCCGATAGAGGCTCTGTTCAACTGTGGCTGAGAGATGAGGAGGATGACTCAAGTGGGAAGTTATCATCATATCATCGATACATCTCTGGCCGGGCCTCACCACATCGTTAGCGTCCCCAGATACCACCAATGCACATGCTGCCTAAGAGGTACACCATCTACTATAGAGCCAACCCACGCTGCTAAGATGAAGGAACGCAACCAACATCAAGTATAGTATTGATAGATAGACGAGCTATTGAAAGGCGGATAGGCAGGGGGGTTGGTGCTTACCTGGACAGAGTCTCCACTAGGGGCCGTAGGGCTCGTAGCTGAGAGGGAAGCCATGAGCTGTATGGCGCAGACTCTCATGGATAAAGGTAGCTGCTCATGCATTGCCACCATCACCACTCCACAGATAAGACCAGTCTCGAGTATCCGTTCGTGGTATCTGCTACATGCTTCAGCCTCCGAGGATTAGAGCCGTCCTTTGCTACCTAGTGTTCATGCTGAGATGCATGTAGGCTCTGATGACATGCTCTATCACCGAAGTTATTGCCGAGTCTACGTTGTGACGGAGACCATCGTAGAGTGCTCTACCTCTACCCTCCATGATATCAGCATGGGTCGACGGGTCACTCAATTGGTTCGCTATTATACATAACGCCTAAGCTAACTGAATCACACTGAAGACGAAAGAATTCTGCCCACCTGTTCGACATAGTGAAGGTTGCCATCGTAATCAAAGCCTCCGATGACCTGGTCTTCTCCACCTAGTTGGGCCAGTTTGGACACAACCTCAACACATTCTGTGGAGTTGAGGATCATCCTGGCCGATACTTCGTTGAAGCTCACGTGAACAAGGGTGTCCAGAGCAGCATGCCTGTTGAACAGTGTGAGAATATATGCACAGGGTCAACTGCATGTGTCGGTGACAGTATGGAAATTCTGAAGAAATTTCTAGGGAAATATCGTTGGTTTTCGTATACTTCTGCTCTAAATCGTGTGTAGGTCCTCATAATGCTGTGAGGAATCTCACGAGCTCAGCTGCGAAAAAACATATATTCCCACACCGGTGTTGTAGGTAACCATTACCCCGGTACTGATAGTGGCAAACATGGCGTTATCAACCCTACCTTAGATCTTCACTGACGGCATCATTATGGACCTCCTTGTGTACCTTGGTTCGAAGTATACTCGCCAAGTAAGGGAGGATGCCCATCGTCGGGAACATCTCTTGAGCCTTCTTATGGACCGACAAGCCGCGTATAACCTCCAAAGCTTGAGCCATCACTCTCCGCGATGGATCGAACAAGTCTCTGAACATAGGGGTGACAGTCACGAGGGTGCATCCGGACTGTGGGTCCTCACTTCCACACAGCCTCATGAACTCCAAGTTCGGTCATCATCATCTCTCTATGCAATGGACATCCGCTGAGGTTGGACAGAGCAAAGAGTGTCGCGACTTTAACCTGACCGATTAAGATGAGCTATGGATGGTATGAAAATACTCTTGCCTGATCCTTCCTCATTCCAACTTCCCCTTCTTGCGACACCCTTGTATAGATCAAGTAAACGACGGACAGAACCTACTGGTGATAGAGTCTGATTGCGTTTCCACCAGTGGTGACTTCCACTTTCGCCCTACCTTGTATTTCATCATGGCAGAGTGGGTCGAAGAGGAGCCAGCGAGGTTACCAAGAGCTTGCAGGCCATACACGACGAGATCGGGTTCATCCGAATCATGTGCTACTTGCAACAGATCTGGTATGGCGCCTTGTTCACACAGAATACTGTGAGTGAGATCGAACGAGGTCAAGTTGGCAGCAGCAAGGGCCGCGTAGACCTATGAAGCACGTTAACGCGGAGTGAGGGCACCAGAGAGCCGACCTGAGCCTCCCGGTCTAGCGAAAATAATAACGGCTGTATAGCCTTAGACCAGCCGTTCGCTCGCAGGATCTTCACCACATCTACCCGATTGCCACACTGTGCAGCTAGTGAGCCTGGGACCCCAGATGCAAGGTGGAGGGATTCTACTAGCAGCAGTTATAGTATACGGGAGCGCCGATGATGACCGA